GCCTTTTTTGCAAGTTGGTTTGAACAGAAAGAGAGAACCTTGCCTTTAAAAGGACAGTCCCCCTTTATCTTCAATTTCTTTTGCGGGTGTAGTATGTATGTGAAGATATTATGTGTGTAAGTGTCACTGTCCAAAAGGTAAATCAGAAATTCATCACTTCAGAAAATGAGCTTCCAAAGTACACAGGTGTTTCATACTGCTTCTGAAGCTTTTTGTTAAAATTTTCCAAGTTGGCACAGGTACAGATATTAGATTGTTAATTTCTTATTAAAGCAGACTACAGTGGTAACTTCCCAGCGGGCTTGAAGTTGAAATTTATTTTAATAAGGAAATACAGCCTACTGTTTATGTCGATGTTTATGCAGCTCTTTCAGTATTCAGCTAAGGTGCATTTGATTCCCCCAGAAATGTTTTTTTGAAAACTGGGCTATCAAAATCTGGGGTTTTCAAACATGCCTGAAGGAATCTAATTGCTTAGGTTTGTTTGACAACCTGGGGCTTCATGTTTCACATTCTTTTCCAGAATTCCTTTTGCAGATGCTCAGAGTTGCAGTATATGTGTCTTTCAACCATGTAGAAAAATGATCTGACTCTGGGTCTCCTGTCATCTTTTGTGTGTAGGGCTGTGAGGAAGTACTTCAATAGAACAGAGGGCAAGCAGCTATTTTTCCTAGTTATGCTTCATTTATTATCTTCAAAATTACAGTTTTGTTGGGTGGTTGATTTTGTATCATGGGATTTGGCCAATTGCAGTGAAGACATAATAGGCTGGAACAGGCTAAACAAACAAATGTGACATCTTAATATTGTGGTGTTAGGACATCACAGTATTAGTGCGCGGTTAGTGTGGGAATGAAAGGTATTTGTTTGACAGTCGTTATTTTGCGCGACCTTTCCTATTTAATTTTACCAGGGCCACAGATTCCAGATGCAGACTCTCAAGTCTGAGGTTTTCAGCTCAGGTACGCTTGCCGAGGTCTGCTGCATCAGGCTCTGACTCAAGGACAAGAATACACTATTGGTGCCAAGGTTTCCTTAGAGATTAAACAATCTAGAAAATGTAGATTCATCTGAGGTCCAAAAACCAGTCTTTGCTGTGTTTCATAAGGATTTGAAAAAAGACAAGAAAGAAGAGAAAGGGTGTTTGTCCTTGATCTTGCTGTGGAGGTTGGGAAGGCCGCAAGGTGTGTAGCATCCTGAGATTACAGTGGAGACATCAAGGAATTTGCAGTTTTCTGGACCTGATTTTTGAATGAGAGGGGTATGTGACAGTCTAGGTTCTTTTCTAGCTTAGTTTGGCAGAATCTCACCCTTTGCAAAGCAAATAAGGAACACTTCATTTCTAATTCCTTCATCGTGGCATTTCTATTTAAACTGGATTAGCTGAGTTCAGTAAGGAAGGATTCTGTCTCAGGGATCTCATATGTATTGTGTGCAGTTTTTCCACCAAGGATTACAGCTTCTGAAGGATGTTTTTATTTTCCAACTCAGTCTTTATCAACTTGTATTTTTTAACAGCATACGTCACAAGCTGCAGAAGTATAAAACGTGGGCATATGCCTTGTTGCATTGTGGCTTTATTTCTTAATCACTTTTCCCCTACCACTTGTGCAGATGTCATGAATAGATGTGTACCCCACAAAAGAAAGTGATAGGAGTTGCTCCTCCCCTAGGAAAAGTTTATTTTCTAAATGCTCCAGAAGGAGACTGTTTCCTGATTAGCAACTGGGAGACCGGTGATAGTATTGAGGTATTTCTGGTGACCTGCCCATGCATGTCAGCCATCTATCCACTGATCACTATTGTTCTGAATGTTCAGGACATACGGAGTTTGTTATGGTGGTCTTGCCCTGGTAGGCATCTTGAGATGACATGTTGTGGTGGGCTAATTTATTAAAGTAGATTTGCATAGTGAGAAACAAAAGTTGGCGCCCCGCTGGACCTGTTATTTACAAACAGAGAAGCACTTGTGCATGATGTGATGGTTGGAGGCCATCTTGGGCATAGCGATCATGAAATGATAGAGTTTTCGATTCTCAGAGAAGTAGGGAGGGGGGTCAGCAGAACTGCCACCTTGCACTTCTGGAGGGCAGACTTTGGCCTGTTTAGGAGCCTGCTTGACTCCCTTGGGAGGCAGTCCTGAAGGGAAAAGGAGTCCAGGAGGACTGGACATTCTTCAAGAAGGAAATCTTAAAGGTGCAGGAACAGGCTGTCCCCATGTGCCGGAAGACGAGCCAGCGGGGAAGAACAACAGCCTGTTCAAGGCTGAACAGAGAGCTTTGGCTGGAACTCAGGAAAAAAAAGAAAGTTTATGACCTTTGGAGGAAGGGGCAGGAAACTCAGGAGGACTACAAGGATCTTGTGAGGTTATGCAGGGAGAAAATTAGAAGGGCCAAAGCCCAACTAGAACTTAATCTGGCTACTGCCATAAAGGCAGTAAAATGTTTCTATAAATACATTAGCAACAAAAGGAGAATCTCCATCCTTTATTGGATGCAGGGGAAAACATAGTGACAAAGGATGAGAAAAAGTCTGAGGTACTTAATGCCTTCTTTGCCTCAGTCTTTAATAGTAAGAGCAGTTGTTCTCCGGGTACCCAGCCCCCTGAGCTAGAAGACAAGGACAGGGAGCAGAATGAAGCCTCCATAATCCAAGGGGAAACGGTCAGTGACCTGCTACACCACTTAGACACACACAAGTCTATGGGGCCAGATGGGATCCACCCAAGGGTACTGAG